GCATGTACTCTCTCATATATGGATTTTACACATAGATCTGGGGAGTGCCAGCCTACAATCCTATGGCCAGAGAGTCTGGGAAACAGAAACTTCATTTAGTGGCTGATCGAAGAAGAGGCAGACTCCCTCGGTTAAGTACTGAGCTGAAGTCAAGAAAGTCAGTAACAGAGAGGGAGGACTGATGATCAAAGGGATTAAGGCTGGGCTGGTTTATCCCCCCAGAAACAGCTGACCAGACAAAGATTAACTCTTGAATCCCAGGCTGATGCCTGGGAATCCAGCATGGGACTGATCAAGACCCCCTGAATGTGGGTGTCAGTGAGGAGGCCTAGGTAATCTATTGAGCCTTGGGCAACAGATCAGTACCCATCCCAAGTATACACACGGACTTTGGACTCCCATCCAACAATGTGAGGTGCACTCTCACCCTGAACTCTTGGGGAAGGGTCTAGGCCCTGCCCTATATGAAATGACAGACTATGGACACCCCCATGTAGGGCCTCACCCTCCCTGGGGGAATGAGGGGATAACGGGGGGGGGGGGGCACGGTAGGAGGGGAGGGAAAGGGAGAGGGACCTGGAACTGACTTGTGAAGCAACCTTTTTTCTTATCTAAATTTAAACTGGAAAATAAAAAAAACATTAATACTTTAATTAGTGGTTTCAGTAGCAAATGTTGTGGTTGGGAGGATTCTTTATACCTCAACTGATTCTACTCAGCCATCAATCCCAACACACCAATTAAGAGCAAGAAATAAGAAAGTAGCGATTATTTCATGGCTACATTGACAAACAAACAAGTGTAGGAGTGCAGCCCCTTCAAAACCAGTTTTGGAGCTCTGAGAAGAGTTTTGGTAGAATAAGAATTATGGCAGGGGCCAAGAGTCATACATAATTGAGCACTTCTACTCAAGTTTCCATCCCTCCCACCCTTTCTCCACTCACATTCTGTAAGGAGATCCAATAACTTTGTACTGTCACCCAAGGAGATCGTCATGGTTCTTACAAATGCTCTCCAGCACACAGCCTCTTCTTCATACTTAAATGTTATTTTAAAGGAGAGAACAGTCTTGCTTACTCAGTATTACTTGGGGATAGTTTCAATCTCTTGTCACAAAGACAGTACTTAATCTATCCTCTAGTTCCTGAAACCCACAGGAACAAGAGAAAAAGTAATGTGCAATGACTCAGCTCTGTGCCTTCATCCTTCCAGAGTTGTGGGAGGTAAAGCCAAGTAAGAAGTACTGGATTAGTCAGGTTCTCTAGAGCAAAAAAAACAGATGAATGCTGTATTTTTAATGTATATTAAGATGGGATTTGTTAGTTTTTTTAAATGACTGCTTTATACCTGACAGGCCCAGAATCCTATAATTGTTCAATCTATGAAGCTGGATGTCTCAGCAGTCAAAATCTGGTGATGAATGCTGCTGGAAAACAGGTGGTCTTCACTCTATGCTGGAAGACTTAAGAAGCTACTTATAACATCTGTGAAGGAATAGAGCCTTGGCAGCAACCAGGTGGATGATCTTGCCATTAAGGGTGAAGTCAAAAGGCAGAATTACAAAGTTTCTTTCTTCTATTTCCTCACATATGGTCTGACACTGGAATATGCTGCCAACATTTAGAGTGAGTCTTCCCATTTCAAATCTACAAGGATGATCCCGCTGAGACTCCTAGCAATAGTGGATACATAGAGTGAACTGGCCTTCTGCGATCAGATTGGTGAGTACACCAATTGTCATCAGAGAGCCTTCATCTAGTAACTGATAGAAACAGATAGACACCCACTGCCAAACACTAGGCCTCTGTTGGGCAATCTTGCTGAAGAGAGAGAGGAAGGATTGTAGGAGCCAGAGTCATCCAGGAAATCACAAGAAAATCCACAGAAACAACTAATCCTAACTCATAGGCACTCCCAGTGTTTAAACCAACAACTGGAGGCCTACATGGGACTGACTTACACCCTCTACATATGTGGACAATTGGGTAGCTTTTTCTACTTGTGAGATTTCTAACAATGAAAGCAGAGGCTGTGTTAACATTTTATCTGCCTCTTGTGAACTGGATTACTTTTTTCAGCCTTAATAAGAGGGGGAGTGCTTAGTCTTACAGCAACTTGAGATGCCATCTTTTGTTGATATCCACGGAAGACCTGTCCCTCTCTGAACAGAAACAGGGGAGAAGTGGATTTTTTTGGGGGGGGGCTAGAAGAGATGGAGGAAGTCAATGGAAGGAGAGAAGGGAGGGGAAACTTCGGTCAGGATGTAAAAAAATGATATAAATAAATAAAAGAAAATCCCTGATAGATGTGACCAGTGTCCTGCCTGTTAGATGATTGCAGATACAGTCAAGTTGACAACCAAGATAAACCATTAGAGGAACAAACACAAAATGAAGACAGAGATACAGGGTTTCAACCATGCTTTGAGTTGCTTTTATGTTCCTTTTTTAATTCTGCCTTGACTCCTTCCTGTCAGTGAATAAGGCTGCTTCTTCCTTTGTTCAGGAAAAGGTTAAAGTTGGGATAAAATATACAGTCTTCCAAACACAGTATAAGTAGTCACCTGAGAATTTCTTCATAAAGATAAACAACATTTCAATGTACTGCATATATGCAATATTTAATGGATTGGCACAGAAGTATATTTTAAAAACCATGTGGAACAGAACATCCAAATTCTAAATCCTGTTGAAGCAAGTGCCATTTTCAGGGTAGGGCTCAGATCTCTGCAAAGAATTTGTTCATACATTATTGTTGCTTTATTGTATTTTGCTTAACATGGAACTCCTTGAGCTACTTCTGATTCTCCAAGATCTATGTTTCAGTGGCTAGGAAGATGAGTAGACAGTTAAGAGTGCTTACCTCTCTCTAAGTATACCCAATTTCACATTCAAGCCCTCATATCAGGTGGTGCTCAAGAGCACTCAACTCCAGTTCCAAGATGTCAGACATTGGACACCGTCTTTCAGTCCTCATGGGAACACATGAACATGTACACACACACACACACACACACACACACACACACACACAAAGGGAGAAACACATGCACATACACGCATAGAATTAATCTCTCCAGTGTTATTTATCTCAATCATAGGCTTTCCTTTCTTTTGTTTTTTCTTTCTTTCTTTCTTTCTTTCTTTCTTTCTTTCTTTCTTTCTTTCTTTCTTTCTCTCTCTCTTTTTTCCAGAATAAGACAGCAGATACCAGGAGAATACATTTGCAGGAGAATAGCCCTTACCATCACAGAGAAAGAAATACTAGCTGAGGAACAGAAGGAAGAGACCATAGACACAGATTCCCAACATTTTCACTTGGGGTAGAGCCATCATTTTTTCCTCTGCCATTTAAACCACGTGTGCTGCAAAGTCAAGTGTGTGTTACAATATATAGATTTCTTTCACAGTTTAAACACACTGGCATTTCTTTAGTACTTTTTGAGTAGTTTGAGATATACTGTGGTTGTCATTTAAAATCTGTCTTCTCTGGGACTGAAAGGTCTTCCTAGTAACACTTCAGTGTGCTTGCTCACCCCCAAGAGTCGGGCTGGTAAACCGAGGACACAGCACTGTGGATTTGAAAAGACTCTGAAAAAGAAGCATATTCCCAAGACTGGATGAAGTTCAAGGGGAATGTTGGCTACGTACAAATAAATGATGAACTTTAGGTCTGGGTCCTAGCTCTATTATGATGAACAGAAGCAAACTTTACAAACTTGTGGGTTTTTTTTCAAGTTTTATATTGTTGGAGAATTAATTATTTTACAAGGATGTAACGAAAATGAAAGAAAAGCTTTGTAAAACTTGAAATGAACATAACAACCTCAAACTAGAATCATAAGTGTTACCAATCAGTGTTACAGCGTGAACCCCAATAAGTCAAATTTGGCCACCCATCAATTGTAACTGCCAGATTAACAATAAGTAGAAAAAAAGAGGAAATACATCAGTGTAGCCATATTGGAAAGAACCACAAAGAAATCTAATGCCCTATTCCACCAGTCCGTATTCAGAGTCCTGAATAAGATGAAAATTTTAATACAGGGACAGGGATATGCACATGTGAGCAGTCCTAGTGAAGGTATGGTTTTGCCCACCATTTACTCATCATTTTCCTGGCTTCAGTCTAATCCTGTAGACTCATCTGAGAAGTTACAAATCTCTTTCTTAGAGACAAGTGCCTGGCAGGTGCCCCTCCTCCTCCAAATACCAGGATTCTAGGAATATTATCATTACTTGGGGTCTAGTTTTTCAAGTTTGATAGTGAAATTGAGAGACACAAGTGTCTCTTTAGAATAGCTTAATTTATGCCAAGATGGCTGTTCAAGTACTGATTGAAATTAACAAAGGGGTAACAAAAGGGAGATGAAAAATCATATCAAGCATAGAACCCAGGAGATGGCTCTGCTCACATACCACATATGTGATGTGATGGCTGTTAGATATATATGAAGGCATATGGAAAATAAGACTGGAAGTAAATCTAAAACAGAAGAATGCTTCTTCATGGAAAAGAGATAATAAGTGATTCTACAATAATTCAGAAAATCAATAACTTTTATTTTAACCCATGAAAAAGTTAAGACCTAGATTTCTTTTTATTATTATTATTATTATTATTATTATTATTATTATTTATTTTTAAGTTTAAATTTAGATTAGAAACAAGGTTGCTTCACAAGTCACTTCCAGGTCCCTCTCCCTTTCCCTCCCCTCCTCCCGTGCCCTCCCTCCAACCTCCCCATTATCCCCTCATTTCCCCAGGGAGAGTGAGGCCCTCCATGGGGGTGTCCATAGTCTGTCATTTCATCCAGGGCAGGGCCTAGACCCTCCCCCAAGATTTCAGGGTGAGAGTGCATCTCACATTGTTGGATGGGAGTCCAAAGCCCGTGTGTATACTCAGGATGAGTACTGATCTGCTGGCCAAGGCTCAATAAATTTCTGAGTCATAAAGAAAGTGTGAGGTGATAGGACAATTGAAGGGTATAGCATACTAACCTTCTTTGCTTGATTAGGAACAACTGGAAATGAAGCCAAGCCATCTCAAAAGCAACTGGCTAGTGTGATGGTTTTAGTTGCCACATGACACAATCTAAAATCACCAGAGAAGAGAATCCTAATATAGATCAGGATGGTCTGTGGGCATGTCTGTGGGAAATTTTCCAGATGCATTGATTGGTGTAGAAAGACCCAGCCTACCATGGTTGGCACAATTCCTTAGGCAGTGGATCATGAACTGTTAAGAGCAAAAAAATAGAACTTGTTACTAGACATGTATTCATCTATAGTCTTGGATGTATATGTGAAGATGTACTTCTAACTAGATGTTTCACTATGACTTCCCCACAATGATGGACTGTAACCTGGAACTGTAAGCTGAATAAATCCATTCTTTTCTAAGTTGCTTTTTTCTCAGGGTATTGTTGTCATAGCAACAAAAAGAAACTATAATAGCAAGGGAGTGAGAGCAACCAAAGAACAGTACAGAATATCAGAAGCACAGAAACATATCTCAGCCCATCTGTGCTCTTCTAGGAAGAGTAGACACATATGTGAGAAGGAATAATTCAGGGATATTCTCAGAATTTAATGCTGAGACGTAAAACGCATTCACTGCCAAGGAATGATTTGGGAGATACAGAAACATTGACCAGGAATGAATTCTTTTTTGTTTTTTGTTCTTTTTTTTTTTTGGTTTTTCGAGATAGGGTTTCTCTGTGGCTTTGGAGGCTGTCCTGAAACTCGCTCTGTAGACCAGGCTGGCCTCGAACTCACAGAGATCCGCCTGCCTCTGCCTCCTGAGTGCTGGGATTAAAGGTGTGCGCCACCAACACCCGGCTGACCAGGAATGAATTCTATCTCGGGAAATAGCTGAGTCAGTAATGAGTTCACCATGCCATCAGGAAGACCTGACATCTATCTCCCTAGACCCTCATAAAAGAGATATGCTTGCAATACACAGGTAAGATTTCAATGATCTAACATATATATATATATATATACATATTTATGCATAAGTACACACTGAAAAAGGAAAAAATCAATTTAGAATAATGGATGAGACTATAGAATGTAGTATGTCCTAATTGGGGTTACAATTATTATGATAAAACACCAAAAGAAAGTTGGGGTAGAAAGGGTTTATTTGGTTTAGACTTCCACATCTTAAATTTATTATTGAGGAAGTCCAGAACCATGAAGGCAGGAGTGTTGAGGCTACAGAGGAGGGTTGCTTACTGGCTTGCTCAGCCTAGTTTCTCATAGACCCAGAACCACCATCCCAATGATATCCAGCTACAAGAAACTGGGTCTCCCCCATCAATCACTAATTTAAAAAATATCCTACAGCTTGTGGAGGCATCTTCTTGAGGTTCCTTTCAGCTAATACAGCTGATGTTGAATTGATAAAAAAAACTAACCAGCACACAGTACAGAAATGCACAAAATACATAATTTAAGGAAATAAACAATTGACTACTTTAAACAGTATAGTAGAGGTGAACAGTAACTGAGAAAAAAATTGAAATGTAAGGACAAGAATGTGACAGATATTTATTAGAGGCTTGTAATATAAAAATATCAATCTGGGTAAAAAAAATTCCTAGAATAAATGAAACAAGTAATTTTTAAATATAAAATGACAAAAGATGTGAGATTAAAATAAAGAGAATAATTTAAAACAAGAAAACTGAAAGCAAAAGCTTTAATTTTCATGTAGTAATTTGTCGAGAAAGAGGATAAGGAAATCTCTTATAGGAGACTTGGTGTGTAGCTCAACAGTAGAGTTTGTCTATTATTTATAATGACTTATATTTGATACCCTTTGCCACAAAATCAGAAGAGAAAAGAATGCATGAAAAATCTAAAATTGAGAGTCTGAGACATATTTCAAATTGTGCAAATTTGCGTCAATAGTCAAATTACTAATTTAACATTTGTCTTTCTATGAGATGGTACATCAAACATGGGAGATACTTTGTTATACTGTCAATACTAACCTCAGACACTAGCTATTTTCCACTTCACTTTGGGAAGCATCAATCTGGTCTTTAAACCCCAAGATGAAGTGGGTCTTCTCAGGAAAGAGATATAGCTTCCTTTGCATGAGAGGTATATCCAAGTACCCTCACTAACATTTCATGGGTAGATTTGAAAGGGGAAGGAAGTGTCTCTGAGAAAAACAAATGAATCCCTGGGTAATTATTATACAATATACCTGACTTTTTAAAAGAGTTTTGACCACTGCTGATGTTGGGAGTTAAATTATCTAAATGGGAAAGAAACACATTGACTAGAAAATACTCTTGCCTTAACAAACAACACTTTGAGCCCCAAATCTACGTCTGAGTTTGTCAAGATGGAAACTTACCTATTCATATCACAACCATAGTCAAGAATAGGAAGAGTGCATACATGCTAACTTAGTTTTTATTTTCTTTCTGGTGCTCAGCTTGATTTATCCACTCTTAGGATTACCTGCCTACTGAATAGTGTCACCCAGTCAACTAAGTCTTCGCACATCAAATTACTTTATAAGACAATACCTGGAAGAAACGCCAAAAAGGCCCATCCAAGGTAGAAAATTCTTCATTGAGACTCTCTTCCAGGACTCTAGTTTGTGTCAGCTTGGTAATTAAAGCTAACCATCACAGATGGTGGATAAAGGAAGTGGATCAAAAGGCATCTCAATAGCCTTGCCTTAAAATGAAGAAATTCCACAGGGAACTGATGTCATTCAACAGGATATACCAGCTTCTCTGAACAACTTTTGGGTTAACACCATAGAAATTAAATTCTGTCAGATTCAGATAAGAACATTAAAACATTATGAGAAAAGATTTGGATCTATAAAAAAGTCAACAAAAACCAATAATAGCAATGAGCCAGAGAATTTCCAGATTCTGATCCCTGTAAATGCAGTTTTAAAATATAACTCCCAACACAAGCAAGAGAGCTAAGTTGACACAGGGTTTTGAAAGGAGATGGTCTTGTGTTTGATTCCCAGAATCCACAATAGATATACAGATAGATAGATAGATAGATAGATGGATGGATAGAGAGATAGATAGATAAATTAAGAAAAACTACCAAGCTTTTACAGGCACATTCTTGTAATCTTAACTCTGGGAAGCTGAAGACAAGCAAACTCCTGGAGCTTGCTGGCCAACCTGTAGAGTCTACTTAGTAAGATCCAGGCCATTGTAGAAGGCCTTGTTGCAAAACACAAATAAACAGCAAAATAGAAGAAAAATTGGTAATGATGCCTGAGGTTGTCTTTTGGCAACCTTATATATAACAATGGCAAACACACACACACACACACACACACACACACACAAACACACACAAACACACACAGAGGGATAATATGGTCCCTTAAATACTTTGACATCCCTACCATTGTGACAGTCAGATCATATTCTCACATTAACCTAGATATTTAAGTTGATCATGGCAAAGGTCATATCATACCGGCATCAAATTTTCTTCTACCTTAGGAATTTTGTATCTTACTTCTTGTGCTTCAGTTTAGAACTCCACTACTTTGGCACTCCATAGCTCCGTCAATACCCCTCTCTGCATTGTGACTTCATAATGAACACAGGTGAAGAATAAAGATAGTAGTGAGTCAGACCTGCCATCACAGGACAAAGAAAAAAAGCCACGAGTATATTTTTAACATTCTTTTAATGGATTTTCTGATAATGAAGGAAAAAGAAATCTTCCCACTGACAAATCTTCAAAAACTACACCTTGTTTTTTATTTTGTCTCCTAGAGAGATATGGCCTAGAGTCAAGATGCAAACTGTTTTGCAGCAGTGACTAATAGGCTGGTCAGTCATCTAATTAAGAAAGAGCAGTAAGAGGATTTTTGTGGTAAGGAGGCTTAGGGGGAAGAGGATGTGGCTAACAATCAAGGAGTGAACTCAGATGAGAGGAGCATTAAAAATCACTGGTTCATGACAACATACATCAAAAAATATAAATAAGAATAAAAACTAAATCTTTTATTCTAGATTCGTGATCCTTAAAAAGTGTCTTACAGCACATAAAACTGTACATATGCACAAAGGCTGGTATTGTTCAATACTAGTATATACTTAGTAGGAAAAGATAAGCCACTATAGATGGACTTTATCCTCCTTTTCCAGCCAAGCCAGTTTTCTCGATGAACTTAGAGTCAAGAGAAGGGTGAGAGAGATGCTTGTTGTTCTTGTAAAGGACCTGAGTTTGGTTCCTAGTACCCATGTCAGGTGTCATACAACTACCTCTAACTGCTGCATGGACTCTGATACCCTCTTCTGGTCTCCACAGGTACCTGCACACACAGAGCAGACAGAAGTTAGTGACAAGAAATATTTAAATTAATGTATTATTTTATGTCTGTGGATGTTTTCCTTGTCTATATCTATATAACTTTCACACCACATTGTGTTCAGTATACACAGAAGCCAGAAGAAGGTGTTCGTTTTTTTTTTTGAGGGGGGAATAGAGTTACTGATGATTGTCAGTTCCTGTGTGGGTGCTAGCATATGAACCCGGAGCCTTTGGAAGGGCAACCAGGGCTCTTAACCCCTGTACCACCTCTCCTGTACCAGTTCTTTTTTAAGAGAAAGCAGTTAAGGGGAGTGTATTAGGCCTACTTTTGTGTTTAACTACACGGGCATTCCCCTTAGGAGACTCTACTTCACTATTGCTCTTGCCGAGGTTAGCATTCAATCTGTGAGGTGCCACCACACATTAGAGTTCCAGCTAGCATTCTGGGAGTAGGTTGATTACATGTGACCTTTTTCCTTGCAAAGGGGGCAAAGATTTCTCCCTACCAAATAGACACCTAATCTAGATTTGAAGTTACTCTCACTGTCACTGTCAATATCACTCATCCATGAAATTACTCAGTGCCTTTATTTGGATCCAACCAGGAAACCAATTCAAAATAAAAGAAATAAACAAGAGGCCAATTCTTGGGGGGTTCATTGGTCTTATTTTCTATCTATCAATCTGTAAGCAACTGATTTCCTCTATAGTAGAAAAATCAGCTGGAATTTGGAGGGACAACACATTTCGATGAGAGATGCTGTGCTTCTCCCATAGAGATAACTGCAGTGCTATGAATAAAGAATTCACAGATGAGTAGGCAAAGGCATGTTAGCATTATAGTCAATAATGGTTTTCAAATGTGTTAACTTCTTCAGGTTGTCGAACTAGGGACCTTACTGTGTAAAGCAAAGAGTCCCTAATCATTCCTTCACCGAATTACAAGCTAAAAGCAGAACTCAGCTTTGTAGGACCTCTAATGTAAGGAGGAAAATACATGGGGTGGTGGAGAGAAATATTAATTCCTATTGAATTTCTTCTTATTTAATTGAACTGCTCATCACAAATCTGATTGGAATAATAATATCTAAAAATTGGAGGTTGGGCTGGAGTGATGGTTCTACATTAAAGACTAGACTCACAAAAATATGAAAATGGGAGGTTGGGGAGATTAGGAAGAGCAGAGGGAAGGGAAATTTTGTTTTGGATGTAAAAAAAAGAAAATTATTACTTTTTACTGGCTTATCTTCTATTCCACAATCTTGGTGCTCAAGAACATTTTTTATTCTTGTTGAAATATTTTTAATTATGTGTATGCATGTGTGTAGATGTATGAAGGTAAGTGCAGTAGAGAGTGCATCAGAGTTCCAGAACTTCATTTTCAGGGAGTTATGAGCTGCTTTGCATGGGTTTAGAAGCCAACCACCAGTCCTCTGCAGAAGCAACATGCAATTTTTACTACCTAGCCATTTCTCCAACCCCAAGACACTTTATTTCAATTGACAATTTTCCTTCTGCTACTAAAGTAAAGTTGTAGAGTGAATTCATGTGCCTCATGGAACAGAGAGTGAAGGCAGGAACTCATGACTAAATTTCATGTGCAAAATCATGGATGTCTGTCTCACCATGCAATTTCCTAATTTGCAAAATAAATACATTATACATTTTAGTGTGGATATTTCTTTCACTCTTCCATTTTATGTAGGAAATTTTTTGAAAGGAAAAATTACTATTATTTCTCCTCTAGATATAGAAAAGTATATATGATCAAGATAAAAAAGTGAGCATCCTAAGATTCTTTGCAGCTAGAAAATACAGTGTAAATTAGAATTTGTTGGACTGCAAGCAGCAACATCTGAAATCAAGCTAATTTTAACTGTCCTATGACGGAACAGTTAGAAAGAGTAAGATTTTCTCAGCTTAGTTTTCTATATCTCTTTTGTGTGCCATCTCCCTCTTCTACATCATTTGGAAGCTGGTGGCCTCAAATAAAATGAACTTTTCATGATAATTTAAGAACAACACAGTAAAGGAGACCACTTCTTTTCTACTGTGTGTGTCTAAAATTTGGTTATTCTTTGAAGTAACCTTTAAAATTTCTTCTCAAATCTCACTAACTAGAATTAAATTGTATTTCTAATCCTAAGCATCTTATGAATATAGGAGATGCTGCTATATATAAAATGTGGAGGCAGGGGTATAGTCATTGCTGTGGTATGTATGTTAGTAGAGGAAAAGACAAAAATGACAAATGGGCAAAACACACACACACACATGTAGTTAGTTAACCAGTAATGTTTATCATAATAACAATAACTATGATGGTTTGAGTGAAGAATACCACTCTTAGGCTTTTTTATTTGAACACTTAAGCCCCAGTTAGTGGCACAAATTGGGAAAGTTATGGAACTTTTAGGCGGGTCCCCTTATCTGTGGAAATATGACATTGGGGTTGGGCTTTGAGAATTTTTTTGAAAGTCCTTTTTGGTGCTTTCTCTGCTTTCTGTGACAGGCTGAATACATGATCTCTTACCTTGTTGTTCCTGTTGCCATGCCCATTCACCATGATGAACTCTCATTATGAAACCACAAGCCTAAATAAACTCTTCTGTAAAATGCTTTGGGTCACATTTTATCTCAGCAATAAAAAGTAGAAAAAAAGGATAACATTTAAATGCAACATAAAATTGGAATGTAGGCACAAACAGAAAGTATATCACATTTCCTATTCAAAAGTAAAAACATTAAAAAAATAGGATGTATAGGCTTTTTAAGACAATAGGTAATAATGTTGGGGTAATCGTTTTTGTACACTGTGTGAAGTTGTATTGCTGCTTAACCTCACCTTTCTAAAGAATTTTCTGAATGGTTTAATAAAGGGCAGAACAGCCAATAGGCAGGAAAGAACAGGTAGGACTTCTGAGGAGAGATAGGAACTCTGTGAATGTATAGGCACTATAGGAGATTTCCAAGTCATAGCGAGAGGAAGTTGGACTTGTGGTACTGAGGAGAAGTAACAAGCCATGTGGCAAAATGTTCATTAATATAAATGGGTTATTTTAAGTTTTAGGAATTTTTTGGTAACAAGCCTAAGCTAAGGCAAAGCTTTCATGACGGGGGGTTGCCATTCTGTATATACATTTCTCTTATTGGTGGATGAATAAAACACTGATTGGCCAGGCAGGAAGATAGGCAGGGCTAGGAGGTGGGGAGAATTCTGGAAGTGTAGGCAGACAGGAGTCCAGACATGTGAGCCCAGGAAGACAGGATGAGAGTCAGGCATTCTCTAGTAAGATAACAGCATGTAGAATACATAGATTAGTAGTTATGGGTTAATGATTATGACAGAACTAGCCAATCAGAAGCCAACAGTTTCATAACTAATATAGCATCCATGTGATCATTTGGAGCTCCAGGGTGGCAGTACCCCATCAGGCCAGAAAAATCACGCTTACACTTTCATAATTAATAAAAAGTCTCCATGTCATTATTTGGAAGCTGGTGTTCCAAAAAAAGACATGCTACATAGTAATATGTGGGTCATTTCAGAATAATGATATTGAGGATACCTTTTAGAACATAGAAAATAGCATCTTATACTTCACCCAGTGGTGTACTGTCAGGTACTGTCCGTGGGCCACATAATTAAGTTACTTTACTAAAAGCTGAATTAGCTGAATTGCTTTACCATAGATGCTTTGTTCCTTGGGGACAGTTTAGAAAATGTTGTCTCTAAAGGTTGAAGTTCTAATGTAGTAAACCAAAGCCTGGATCTGTTATCTAATTGTAAGAATTGAGAGAAGGAAATCTATAAAGTAAACTTAACAAGAAGCTGGAGATGTGGCTCAGTTGATATCGTTCTTGGACAGTTCATGTAAAGTAATAGGTCCACATACATGTAATCCCAACAAGTTGGAGGCATGTTGATCAAGAGTTCAATGTTAACCTCACTATATAGCAAAACTGAAGCCATTCAGTCTTATGAAGCCCTATTTCAAAATGGGGGGGGATAGTAGATAGCTCAGCTTGTTGTGATCACTTATTACTGGAAATTCGCTTGTACAGCAATTTGCCAAAGGCTGGAAACAATTTTAGTGGTATTGCTTTGTTTATTTGTTTTTCCTTTTTTTCTGGTGCTATTACTAACCTAGTAGTTGTTGTTGTTGTACATAAAACTTGACTAAACACTGAAAGTAAAACCACCTTGTTAAATAAGAC